ACCAAATGCGTTAGAAGACTGACGAGGGACAGCCCTTAAGCTTACTTGTGACAGATATTTGCTTGAGATAAATCCATGCAATATCCAAAAGTACGTTTCAATTGGGTAGAAGCCGTTTGATTCATGATGAGAACACTAGTGCCAGTTGACACACCAGTAAAACATACTTTCCAAGGGTTCCTACGATTTCATCAACGTTGCTGCCCGAAACCGGTGATTTGTTGGCAGAAGCGTGATGAACGTTTGACTTCCCGGAAATTGCTTCCTGGAAGAGACATACTCACTGGGGGAGACTTCAACGTACTTGCCAAATAGACCTAAGAGGTCTATACCTTATGAACTGTCATAAAGTTAGGGACTAGTCGACGCTTTGCAGTGCGGAGGCCAGGCAGACTGATGTAGTGGCTCACCAATAGCTACTTTGTACATGTATTTTTGTACCATTGTTTATCTATACATTGTTCTAGACTATGGTCTAGACTATCTTTCTCAAGCGCAGATGAGTTTCTTACAATTGATAGATAGGGTTGTCCCAGATGAAAACGTCCTGATATCAGGAACCTTTCTTTGCTTCTTCAATTTTTTTGTTGGAAGCATTTCATCAACTCTCTTTGCAGACATCGTTCTAACAGATCTTATCCACGAAATGTAACGAAGCAGGAGGCTATTTCCGTGCCAAATATCGAGCAATTTCTTCCCCGGCACGCTGCCTGGGCTAGAATCTGAATTACTCATTGCTCGCGAGAAGGGCAAGTGAAGAGATGACCTTTCTGATTTTACAGGCGTTTTTGTCAGGCGTCTTACGACTGGCACCGCCATGGCGAATCCAGGTGCCGAGTGTACTAAGGCCTCGTGCACAAACTTTCTCGGGTCATAGTCCCGTGCTTACCGCTTCCCGAAAAACGTTATCCGTCTGTAAAAGTCAGGTTGACCTTTAAAGTGCACGATAATTCTTTCCCTTCTTCTAATGGCAATTTTTATCTCGTTTGCAACATCGAAGCTTTACATTAACCGCACTTTGTTAAAGGCCGTCAGGCTTGCATACTGAGTGGCGGGTCTGGCTACTTCCGCTTCAAACCTCGTAGCTGAACGCTTCGAGTACCTATTTATTCTAGCATGGGGCCCTAATCGTGTCATTGGGTGATATCTGGTATAGTATAGCTAATGGAGAGGGTGGGGGTCGAATGGCTCGATTAATGACGATATAACCCACTTCAAACCTGCATTTCAATTTGCCGTAAGCCGGTTGGGCGTGACAGCCACGACACTTGTCATCCGGTACGCTTTCTTACTATTACCTCATCAAGTGGTTTAGGTAGGAAAACATTACGCCATACCTTTCCCCTGGGCAATGGTTGTACTCGAAGTACGTGGAAATGGAGCCCGGAGTGCTAGTGTGACTACTAGTAAGTAGTTGCCATTATAAGTGAATTGACGGAAACGGATGGAATATATGTGTTATCAATGAGAGGGTCGTTTCTATGCAGTGTAATACTTCCGTAATGTACACATAGTACAAAACTTTATCTACAAAAAAAAAATACCGAAGCTACCAAACTTTTAATAGCATTTCGCCATAAACTGAAAATGGACGGGAGTTTTTGCTACCTTCTGGCGGGCATTTCAATTTGTGTGCCCCTTATCTGCCCGTCTCAAACGTACGTATCGTCCAGGGCTGAGAGCGCTTTCCGTCAGAATGTCATAACCACTCAAGTAAACCAGCGTCTACTTACTACAACACGAATGCCTTCCAGCGATAGATCTTATACACAACTAGCCTGGGTGTTTATGCAAGAAGAACGAATTCTCCAGGCAGTCAGTTACGGCCATGACAGGCCCCGGAAGCCTTGTATGTCTAGGAGCTGCCGTTTGCAGACAGTCTGAATCTGTTGGAGCCAAATATCCCCCTCTGGGTTTAACATTATTTGGGCTAATATCATTATGTAATTGCAGACAGCAATTTCAGCCATTCCGTCATCATTGACAGACAATATGACAAAACTTATAGCAGGTCGTCAACAGTGCAGCAAAGTCAAGATGAAGCCATTTGAAACATGTCCTCTTAAAATGTATGAAATACCTTTTTCTGAGGGTTTAATTTTTTCTTAATTGCCTGGGGAGCATGTCTTCTGCCATTGATTCGTTGCGCCTTTGGTACTCATCACTGAGCATTGCTCTGTCAAAATTACGGGAGTTACAAAGACCTGGAGACCTAGAGAAATCCCTTCAGTAGGAAGAAAAGGAAAGTTTCCCTTTAGTCCCCCTTTATTACTGTTAGAGCTGAAAGTTTTGTGATCTGTACTCCCACCTTCACAGACGTAAATTCGCGTGATAAAAGCCCGGTTGGACAGCGCAGCGTGGCAGAACTCTGGATTTGTTACAAGACATTAGACTTTCCAGGTTGGAAGAACGCCAACCGAGGGGAGATGGAACTCAACAGCACCGCGCCGCCATTAAAGGTGCAGCGGATTCCTGATTATCCAAAGACCGTATGGCTCTGGAATAGATCTGGTTGGTGAGTTCAAGGACAATCACCACTGCGAAGATCACATTCATGCTGAAGTAAGCACTATATGAACTGGCTAAGGGAAGTCTGTTCCCTATTAGAATAATAAATAGGATTGTTCAATTATTTTATATTTTCAAAGCCAGCTCGAGCATGTTTATCATGGAATTGGGTAGAGAACATTACCAGTGCAGTGAAAGACATCATGTATGTATCCCCACGTAGAGCAACAGCTTTTAGTATTATTTACAGCATGTAGACGAAGGGGTTTACGTCTAACTATGATGGCTTGCTATACACAAGCTTAAGTGTGATTATGAATGCTTCGGTCGTTTTTTACAACGGTACAAATAGCGGCGGTACGAGCTCGAGTGAAGGATCCATGTTTTTCGAGCGTCATTGACGTAGGCGGATACGGTTCTATATACACACGTACGAGTACCATATCATATACATGGTACGTAAGATGTATGACTTCTTGGATCTCGTATCTGCGCAGTTGTTGTAGAATGTCTCTTTTACGAAAAACTAAAATGTCAACTTTAACACAATATCAGGACATACATATAATTTTTGGTCCGGGTGATGTATACGTAATTATTGGGTTCGCTCCTCATAAATATTCTAGATATTGCAGCCTATCATTACCAAAGTGTGCTTAGTACTAACGACGTTTCTCTGTGCTTCCGCTGATTACAGAAACCGCCCGTGCACCGCAGCACGACTCTTAATTTCTCTTAATGAAAATCGGCTTAATAAAAGGCTGCATTAAGATTTAGTGTTGACCGGAACACGACAGTCTCCATGCAGGCGCCTTGTGTTGTGGAATATATAATCCGTAGCCGGCTAACTACTTTTTTACAGCAAATCAAAAAGTCTGTTGGAGACTAGTAACAGGACATTTGTCGTGTTTATGTTGTGTTTTTATGTTCCATCATTTTGTTCTGCAGTTACGTCTTTGTTGTTTAGTGCATGCGTCATTGCAGTGCCCCGTGCCGAAAGACGGTATTATGTATGAAGATTTCACTTCCAAACGACTGGGACATAACAGTAAGGCGACGGGACGAACGATTAACCGGGTGCGTTAGCATTCCTCACGGGAAGACGGGAGTGTGGTGTACGGCAGGCCCGCCCGAGCGTTACCCGTCCCGCACATCTTCGAACAGCGGGGGCCGTGATCAAATGAGGAGGACGTCGTTTCAGACTCGTAACGAGTCATTTTGGTTAATCTGCTCGGCTCAGCGTGCGCTCGGGTTGACATTTCTCTCGAAATTGGCCCCTCCGGTTAAGGCAGCCGAATATACGCGACACAGGGGGATCCAAATACGCTGTACACATCACGTCAACAGCGATTCTTTTCCAAGTGAACATTGAAGACAATTTGTAAAATCATTATGAGAGCAAAAGCCAAAATTCAAAACCATTACACAAATAGAGAAGATGGCGGATTGGTTCTTCTTAGTCCAATTAAATACATGCGCTTCTATGATAGCCTACTAGAAGTAATGCATATCTAAACCCGTGCCATTTATCCTGGTTATGATGCCAATATTCAGCCCGTGGGCGACATTCGTAAAGCGAAATGACATTTTCTTCTGGCTGAATAATTAACGCTGCCACCTGCTTAGCTTCGGAGAATTCAAACCGGCTCCGCGCCCCAAGCAGTTGCGTCTGTTTTCCAACTATCTAATCATCGAATGTTTCCTACACCTGACAGTTGTGAAGTTTTGCACGAAAATCGCGCAAATGAAAGAAGCTTTTGACGAAGAAGTAGAGGTCTTAACATCCACTTCATAAAAACACGTCCACAAACATCAAGCTTCACAACTACTTGTGTTCGGTAATTATAGGATTTCTTGTATGAGTATTTATGAGTGTCTAGGGTGGCATGAAAACCAGGTGAAGACATCAACGTTTATCCCCAAGAAGTAGTGAGTACTTAGTGAAAGAAGATGTCCTTGCCGTGACCTGACCAGAAATAAGGAATGAATTTAGCGACATCAGCAGTGCCCATTATGCTACCTGTAGTTGTTCGTGAGGAGGTTTTCGATCAGACGGTGAGGGAGAGCCTGTAGGTAAGCACGTACTCTGGGCAGCACCGCCAGCAGTCTCCCCCCCTACCTCACGCTGACTTCTCCGCCCGCCCTGCTGTCGAATGTACGCCCCTTTTCCCGGGGTTTCGCAGGAACATTCGCTAGCTTATACGTTATGCAATCCCATTAAACTAGACAGGTTTTAGCCGGCTTCTATTTCACTGATAGAACACAATTAATCTAACCTAACATTCAAGACTTGTTGTTGAAGAAAGTGGCTGAAGTATGTACAAAAATCTTCCTGATTTTTACCAACACTTTGTTAAACTTCTATGTACAAAATTATGTGTCCTATATCTCAAGACTGCAACACTGGCGCTATGTTCCGGCCTTGGTAACTAACAGTCACAGCAAAAATCCCGAATCACAATGAAAAATGAGAAAAATTTCATCAGGCTTACCTGGGCTAACTTCCTGTGCGGGGCAGGTGGACCACAAGGTGATGGCCAGCACGAGCCGGAGCCAGGCGGGATCAGGCGGCTCCATGGTTAGCGGCGCTGGGCTGCTCCTGAGACGGTATAGTGGCGAGTGAAGTTACGTCTGACTCTGAATGGACCTGGTACTGTAGTGTGAGCCAGGCGGGATGGTTCACTATGGGAGGTGAGGAGGTGGTGGGTCTGTAGTCTGCAGTGCGCTCCGTACGTGTGTTCGTATCCGAGCTGGTTGGAGACCAAATATCAATTTGGCCGCCCTCTCACGTCTCTGACTCGCCGCGCACTGCTGCCCACTTTGGGCATTGTCGCTTCCAACCACAGATGGAGATGCGTTGTCATGGTAACGGGTCGATTTCCACCCTCGGTTTTACGCATCATTTGCGGCATTGAGGCGTCCAGTCAACGATGCCTCTCTCGTCCTTTCACTCGGAAATAAAGCCGAGCTTTGTGAAGCTTTCCGACAATAACACGCTTGTTAAGGAAACAACGGGAGCAAGCGGCCGGCGCTCCGTGTGTGGGGAGGAATGGGGAAATATCACACCGCGGAGTGGCAGAGAGCCGCGCCGTCAGACGTCAGTACAGCCAACCCGCTAGGTAAAAAAAATGAACGGCTTCATAACGTGGTCTGCGTCATCAGCAGGGGAGGCATATTCATCTAACCCTTTTTACGTCGTGTTCTCTTCTGTAGGGTGCTTCCTACCAGGTTCGCGTGCCTCCTCTGAAGTCCGAACAGACGCCTCAGACAGAAAGCTGCCCGCTGTTCGGTCTGTATTGATCCTCCCCGCTTTCATCGCAGATACTAGAGTGCACTGCACTCCGCTATTCGGGTTCCACCGTCCTCTAACATACACGCATCTTTGAACGCATCAGGATGCACATATCTAAAGTCTGCGGGATAGCCGTTACTTTTATACACGTCGCGTCTTTATGATCTAACTTTAGTGAACCTTTTTGGCCGCAAGAGCTTTCAAAAGCTTACTCAATAATTCCATATGCGCATCCACACTGAAAGTCAGTTGAAAATCATAAATATTTGCAGCACTTTCATTTCTTGCTATTTTATGCAGATGGGTAAAAGAACTTTGGATAAACCCGCAAAAATTTATTTTGCAATTTTTCTTTTGTCAGCGAAGTGAGATATGGTCATGCCATAGGATGTCGTCATAAACTGTCGCATTAGAATGCAGTACCAAGGCCAGGCCGTAAGTCTGGGGATAGAGTCTGGGGTATCCTACGGTATAAAACCCTTATCGCTGCGAGCAACGCCCGTAAATAATGCGTTTTAGACCCACGCTTTATCTAACTTTTAATCTCCCATCTCTTCCAAGGCGCCTGTGAGGGGCACATAAAGCAAGGCAGTGCCGATAGCGCCGCCTTGCGGGCCTTTCGTGAGAAACACCTCAAGCAATAATTTACGCTATGACATGTATGAAGATGTACCAAAAATGAACAAAAAGTAGAAAACTGCAGTCGCGACGCATCATACATTCGTCTTGTATAGTGATGCCTTCATTGTCCTAAGATGACCAGCGATGGTTTCTCGCCTAAAGTGGCTATTGAAGAGAAATAGTTCTTCGACCTTTCTTCCCCCAGGTCGTTAAGGGTTCCCCGTGGTGACATCTCAACCACGGGCGGCGGAAATGGCGACGTTATAAGTGGGAACGCGTCTGCCGCCCGCGACCCTTCACGCCGCCTGCACCTGATCGCGCGAGATCGATCGGTCACAGGATGTACCGCGAGATTTGGGCGCCTCCGTCCCGCGCATTCCTCTCACCTCACGCGATAGCTTCCGCTCCCCGGCCGCTCGTTGCAGAATAATGTTGGTGAGTGGTCATCCATCATCCCAGCACTTTTACGAGCTAGGATCGCCCACAGTTATATTACCTATCAATCTACGGCAGCAGGAATTTAGACGGGCTAGCAAGGGGTCAGCGCCGACGGGAACACATTTCAATTAGACGACTTAGACTAATTACATGTCCTAATGATGGATTTGACAAAGCGGCCCAGACGAAATTGGATGCGGCCAAAGTTTCCGCCGAAGGTCGTTGTTGCCTGTCTCTCGGCTGGCGGCTGACGTGTCGGGACGGACCGTGACTGCATGGCAGCGTTTTTACCTCACAACTTATACATCACAAATAACTCGTAATGTAAAATTCCTTTTTTGTTGGTAACATCCACACTCTTACTTTAGCTTCAAGTTACCCATTTTACTACAAATATGCAGCAAAAATTAATACAAAGAGTACTGAAAGTATCGTAATGTAAAATTCCTTTTTTGTTGGTAACATCCACACTTTTACTTTAGCTTCAATTTACCCATTTTACTACAAATATACAGCAAAAATTAATACAAAGATTACTGAAAGTATCACAAGTTGTTACGATTTACCAGCACTGGTACGAGTGTCGTTGCATGTTCAGAGTTTTGACGACAAGCAGAAACTGATCTGCAATTGAAAAACACATCTATACAAAAAACGTACCAAGATAGATGAATTATCAAATGCAGTCGAACGCGGGAATGAATCTCATATCCATGTTGAAAGATGATATTGGCGAAAAGGATGCTCCTTCTGTAGTCACTGAACTATGGAAGATCCATCTTGTCACACATGATGCGGATAGAGTGTTCTATCATTTATCATATCCAGTCACCAACTCACAGACACGTGATGCCTACGAGGTTTTATTGAAACTACAAACTTTTCCCTAGTATACCTGTTTCGTTTGATTATGGTCACCCATTGGCTAACTTAGCTTATTTTACTCACATAGATTTGAGAGCATTGGATAGAAAGCACATATTGTACTTATAATGATAATTTGATCATAAAACATAAAGAACATAATTCTAAAGTTGGGGTAGCAAATACAAAACAGTGGACATGAAATGAAAATGTGAACGAGAAGAATGGGCCACTGTTTTAAACCCTAATGTCTTATCATTAATGACCAGTCCCTCAATCATACTGTACAATATTGCCCATGCCATCTATTTCATCAGGGACCAATCGTTTGATGACAGTGACGCATGGCAGGTCGCCGCGTGGCCTGACTTTAGGTTCCCTCCCCGAAAGTCATCAGTCCGAACGGATGTGTTGGAGAAAGGGTCATGATCGTGATACGGACCGAGCAGACACCTACGTCATTCCGGAGAAACAGCGTCACTGGTGGCGATAGTGGAAATTGACGGGCAATGTTAGAGTACTGGGTTTTACTGCCCGAGGGTGCACGTAGAATGTCCAGACTGTGCATGATGTACAAAATGACTAATAAACTGGTGGACGTACCAACTACTAAGTATCTGATACCAGCCCAGAAAAGAACAAGAAACGGTCATGCCTTCAAATATCAGAGTTATCAGCAAGAATTGAGGTATTCAAAAACTCGTATTTCCCCAGAACTATCGTAGACTGGAACTCGTTGCCTGCAAGCACTGTTGAGGCATCATTACAAGAAAGCTTTAAACAACTCCTGCAATCAAATGTGCAAAGATTAAGTGTAACAAGTCGTTCGGTGTGATATAGCTAGCTGCCGCTGCGCCGCATGCCTGCGAAGCTGGTGTGTTACGCCGAAGGACGGTTATACCGGCTGTACCGATACAGATACAGATGTTCTTGTACTGTTCAGAACGACCGGTGTGTTGAAAAATTTTGCAAAAGAAGAGGGGGGATGGCATTGAGCTCAGTAGTCTTCTTTTTACATTCATCTGTACATACTTAAATGTTTGTTTTTAGATGTGTTTGTGTCATGTTATGTGTCTGTACACTATGGGCCGTTGAGCCTGAAATAAACAATAAACATTGTCTTACACACGCACGCACACACACACACACACACACACACACACACACACACACACACACACACACACACACACATAGCACACATACACACACACATACACACACACACACACACACACAAACACACACACACACACACACACACACACACACACAAAGACATACACGGTGTAGTATCAACTAACTGGAATAAAAGACACACACACAATATACATGTACATGCACATTTATTACAAGTGCTCATTATTATTATCAGACCTTTGCGGTCTTTATATGCAGTCGCCTGGTGTAACTTCTAACTTCCTTGTGTATAAATCTGTCACACGTTCGCAGTGTGAACCCCGGCATTCCTTCCTATAAAAGTTGATCACTCTGTAGTGAGTATAACGGATGGCGTCCGGTGTGTCCCGCGGCGTACTTAGCAGTCTGCGGCCGTCAGCGATCCCGGGCCGACTCGGCTGTAAAATGAGTTATTGTACCGCCACGGGCACCAAATCTGACTCCGAGTTACTTCTCCTCACGCAGTTTGCTGTCAGTCAAACCTTCACCGGGAAAAAATTGTCAAATCTATTTGTCAAAGTTGGACCACAGGTGATACGGTCTTAAATAAGTAGGTTATTCGGGTTGCTTTCGATGGAGTTGCAGTTTGAAATACTGCGAGTCAGCTGCAGGCAACTTTATCTATGGGATCCACATTTCCAGGCAGTCGCCCTAAGATGCACCACAGATATGTCTCATGTGGAATAGACACGTAAATTTTACCTCGGATGATAGGATATGAAAGACGCGTCTACCAGACTATCTCGCTATGGCCAAGAAAATGGCAAAGATGCAATTTCTATGACCTTCCCCTTGTATGTCTCACTAAGTTTGCCCGAAATAATCTTATTTGGACGGCTGACGTCATCAGGAGGGTCAAACGGCCTAAACTTTTTACTAAAAAAGTAGACACGTTGGCATCAAAGGTAATTATGTATACCAAACAGAAAAACATATTGTTTTTGCCCAGTTTCCTCTTCTCCAAACATAACATATGAGATCAATGACCTGGACCAAACAGTCTATCACCATGGTAACTAGTGTTGGGTTACATCATGTTGCAATTTTATAGCAGGAGGGATTTAGACTCCTGTCACCATATATGTGAATGTGTTTGAGTAAGAATTAACAGAGCAGATTATGCGAAGGTAAACATTATGCATTTGCTTTGAAAATATTATCTTTCTAGTTTTTCATTATACATTCAAAGAGCTTGAAGTGTGCATCTAGAGATTTCATACTGGTGTTACTGTTGCATGTACCCTGCACTATTCCCTAGACAACACACAACCGTGTTAACTTTAACTATTCAAAATCTACAGTTACTGCATGTAATGGTCAAATGCTTCGTTATATATTTTTTCGTCTTTAATTTTGACTTCTGTTTAAGAAACAATGTACGTCAAGTGCACCAGACCGGTGGCAATGGTAAAAACATCC